GCAATGTGGAGGTTAGGGAAAGAGTGCTAAGCATGATAGTCAGGTCGAATAATGAGACTGTGGACCTACACCGAATGAGATGCCTTGGACGTGTGTTGCACATACCCAGACACTTCTTGACGTTGCATACTATGGCAGGCTGGATTTGTTAAGGAGACAGTTGAAGGTAGTCAGATGAAGACGAGGTGCCAGTTGATGAAGTCCTTGACTGTTGGTCCGATTGGTGTTGGGGGATGTGGATTGCTTAGTTGGGGTCCTGGAGAAGAATGGAATGAACGGTTGAGGAATCTCTGTGACGTAGCTGAAAATCGGTGGCAGTGGTGTTATTGTATTCACTGCTTAGCATCTTCTAAAGATTGGATATTGGTAGTAACTGCTAGCTTTCGATTGTTTATTCTCTCACTCTGCTTTGTCTACTCTGATATCACTCTTTTTGTATTTACTTGTTTGTTTTGTACTAGTGTGAATTGTATCAACTTGAGCCGATGCACCTATGTGCCTAGTTCTGTGTTGATTTTGTCACTATCAGTTTGTCAATAGACTCGCACCCGTTTTACTAAGTCAATGACGTCACCACTGAGATATTCGGTCTGCGGTTGACCTTCTCTAGGACTGAGTTAGTTACATTGACTGATTTCTACAGAGCCATCAATTTTATGTTGTTTAGTTCCGAGTCTTGATGTCACTCTATAGATCATTTTGAAATGTGGCCACTGGGTTAGTAGGCTTAGAATAGCACTGCACGTTGATACATGTTAGTCGGTTGAAGGTGATGAGCAGGAAACCCTGTTAGACCTTGGTTTCGTGCTTGTTGGCTTTCGTCAGCAAAGTGTAGATGCAACTTAGTAGGTGTTATGTATTCCGAGCGGATATAATACGCATGCTTAATCGACAGCTAACTTTGAACGCACGAGGCACCGACTGCAACCTGGGACGAATAGAGAATATTTAAGTTGGATGGGAGAGTTTGTCCTTGCGAGATTAATTATCAATTAACCCAAAACCACGTGAGTATATTTGCACATGAGATATGACCTTGTCCGGAAATCGACACATTAACGTAGTAAGAGTAAGGATCAACCAATCAGCCAACTATATAGCAAATGGGTGTAGAAAATGAACTACTTGTCATGCTGTAAAAAATGAAGTGAAACGACAATATAAAAAATATTTCAAGTTGTTATTCATCGAAGACTGACATCAGTTGGAGGAACAAAGGAAACCTGGGAGCACTGGACAGCTGTTTCGTCCTAGTATGGGACTCCTCAGCAGTGCGCATCCACGACCCCACCAGCAGGGATCGAATCAATGGTAACGCGCTGGTCGCGGAACCTGAAGGTCGCGGGTTCGATCCCTGCTGGTGGGGTCGTGGATGCGCACTGCTGAGGAGTCCCATACTAGGACGAAACAGCTGTCCAGTGCTCCCAGGTTTCCTTTGTTCCTCCAACTGATGTCAGTCTTCGATGAATAACAACTTGAAATATTTCCAAATCTCCACAACCCCCTCAAAATTTAATATAAAAAATGTTCAGAACGATAACAATGTTTTTTGCAAACTAGGGCCTTCTAATAGAAGGAACTGATGGGCGGCCTCAGATTCAAACTGGCGTCATCCAATTTTCCAGTCACAGACGTTATCATTGAAGTATTCGGGACAAGACTGACCTCCTATAGGGGGGGATTAGATGCACTGATTGTTCACTGGAGAGCAACCAATTTCCTGAGCTTCCTAGCTTGCTGGTTACATTGCAAAATGATCGACAGAATTCGGTCATCACTTAGGCCTAAGTAACATGCAATTGGCCACTCTTCAGTGACCATTCAGTGCATGTGCGCGTGTGTATTTTGATAAAATAAAGTGTAGATTAATCAGAAAACATGCGATTGAGATGGCATAGTTATAAACTATTCAGTTGTGGGGTGATGACTGAAGGTGCAATAAAAACCCTAGTCACAGCAGGACTCAGACCACCGATCTTGCGCTTAACCGGCTTCAGAGGATGTACACAAATGGTAGAAGAAACAAGAAATCTTATCGAATTGCTATTATACAACATTTGTCGACTGAAGTTTGTTAATCCTCATAGAAATGCCAGGTAAAACACGTCCATTTTTCAGTCAGTTCCAAGGGAAGAGTTATTTATCATGCTATCGTATAAGGGTGATTGTACAAAGTTCGACCACCAAAACAAAGACTTAAGGCAGCTATCTGAAGAACACGTGGTTCAGCAAGGATCAACACCACAGAGAAAAGGTGCTAATGTACTGTTGTAAACTTTTAGAACATTTGAACATTTGGGTCTCATCCAACTGAGTTGATCAGTTTGAATTTGCGTGAGGTCACATACACATACATAAGTAGGACGCATTGATCTAGTTAGGTGAGGGCCACGGAACACACTCCTAACTGATTGCAACAACTAATCGAGTCGAATGACTTCATTGATCCAGGCAAAAGAGGTCAAACTCTTTTATAGCTAAAGTTTCATTGAAACAAATCATAAGGTTGGTTTATGTACATCCTTAAAGTCTGCTTACGAAACTTATTGACGGCACATACTTAGTTTTACTGAAGCTTTGGTTACAGCGATATTTAGACCTCTTCCATGTATTAAAATCCAAACAGTAGCTGCCGCCTTGACGTGCTGATCGGGCTTGCATATCACAATGACCCAACAACTTATGCTGCTGAAACGATTGTTCCTGGAGTTCCTACCATACCAGAAAGGTCAACTGAATAGCAGTAAGAACAGAACCAGTTACCGTTATCGTGTAAAATATTACGCTATGATGGGGGTTTGAGGGTAAAGTTGTACGGGTGGCTGGAGGGGTGTGATAGGTGTACTGTGTTTTTCAGTACCAGGCTAATGCTGCCTTTCATGCATGAAGCAGCATTCAGAAAAGGTGTAACGTAAAAATAACACACCCTCCTTCACCCTATGGGATACCAGTGGTGGCGATATGGGTTCACAGTCGGATTTGCGAAAAACCAACTCAAGTATCAAACTTCTAGGAAGGCCGCCTTTGACAGAATTCAAACAGCTGTCCCTTGGGTTGTGCTGTCCAGCACGAACTCCTCCTTTTAGGTAACCTAGGGAGAGCCAGTCTCCCACGGTGGGGGCGGCCGTGTAGTGTCAACTGCCTCAACCCCCCCTCACTACCAGCAGTCAAGTTACCTACGACTATTGTCCACCTTCCACATCCTTACCTTCTAATCTTCCTTCACATCTCTCTAGTTGCTTTCTTGCATCATCTCTGATTCTTTCCAGCTCAGCTCCGCAGATCTTGACAATAATTCGAGTCTACCCAACAGCATCCTACATCTTCTGAAATCCAACTCCAAACTACATAGTGGAGCTTTCAATATCGACACCTTCTGTCAAACTGACCAACAACCCTCGATAGCCAGAACTCTAGCATCTCTGGCCTTGGATGTGTGCTGTGTTTGTAAGGCATGTATACAAGACCCGAGTACTGTTATTCATTTCACTTCATCCGACAAACATGGTGAATCTGCAAAATTCACTCTCTGAGTTCCTGGGAAATCGATGGTTAGTTATCGCGGCCTTGCAAGTGTAGGTATAGCATTCAGTAATGAAGCAAGAAGTGCACCTATGCGCTGTTTAACTGAACATTACGGTGGATACTAAAGAAGTTTGACTTCATTCATCGAGAGGTCTCATTGGAGTGTCTTCAGGTGAAAGTAATGCCGAGTAACCACATCACTATGTTGAAAGCTCTGTAGTGGAACATCGTTGGGCGTGTTCAAACCTATTGCAAGTTTTGTACGTTGATGAGTGTCTGTCAAGGTTGGCCACTTTCTCTGTTTTTATTCATATTTACCATAGACGTACGTAGGCAAGTGTCTCCATCTCGTCTTCTGATTTTAAAGTGTTTGATCTTATCATATGAGCATCCTTAGCAGACCTAGGTGGATGACAGAGTCTTGTCAGGTGAAGACGCTGACAAAGATGCAGTCTTCACGATACGTCTCTCACCACTTAAATGCAAACTGTTGCCCCAGCAACTGTCCTTATTAGTGCATTGTCTAATAATATGGAGTGAAATGGTGAGTGATGTGCCAGTGTCCGATGAAATCTTTGCACGGACAGAAAAGGCTTGATCGACTTTCGTTAAATTACATTGTTTATGGTGCCACTGTGATATTCCTCTATTTATTTAGGTAGAGAGTAGTGCGCCGCAGTTCGTGCTCTTCTAATATGTGGTTATGAAACATGGCCACTAAGGTGGAGTACATGAAGTGGCTTTAGGTGTCCAACCACTGTTCCCCTCGTAGTATAGGGCATGGGTTGTGGTGTCACCGTGTCACTAACGTAGCAGTCATGCGTAGAGTTTTGGTGAGAAGAAAGTCAGTTGGTGAAGTTGTGAATTACCATCAACTGAGGTGTCTAGGACATGTGCATGACTATTTACCGTCTGCCTGCTTGCATAATGTTAGCTGATGTGGGTGTCGGCTGTAAAAAGGTTAGAGGATAAGACTCGTTATCTGCATGTACCCGAATCCGAAGAAGGGATGTTGTTCCTACAGTGACTTGAAATCGAAACACCGCTTCAAACGACAGAGTGTTGTCCACTAAACTACTGAGTCACCACAACCACTGATTGTGCAATGCGAATAGCTGTAATGCTATATCTTTCAGTTCCTCATCGTTGGCTTGACCAAACTGATTCGTACAATGTTGCTGACAAGCAACTTACCAACAATCACTTTTCAAAGACCACAGAACGGAATGGCAAAGTTGTCTATTCTTATCTAGTAAACATTCGAGTCAAGTATAACTGGTAGTTTGAATGTACGCTCCAACAATGCTTTCTTCTGGTTAATTATGTAGATGTATTGGGTTTGTACCGAACATCGATATGAAAAAATAATGATAATAATAATAACAATAATAACAATGATGATAGTAGTAGTTATAATAAAACTTTATACAAAACAATTTATCAATTGAAAAGCATCTCAGGATGCCTGAACTTACTCGACTGGTTTTATGTGCAGCGAATGTACTAAAATAATCATACAAATAAACCATACGGGATTCAGATGACCCAAAATCATAATATACTGTATAATTAGATAAATTTGGTGAAGTATACCTCATTATCGATGTTAATGAATTTTCATTTGGATTAAAATAATAATTCTCATTTTCTATACGTCGTTTTATCAATTCTTTATTCTGTCTCTGTTGATTCTGATGATAGGGGATTGTTCGAATCGGTGTAAATATCACCTTTAATTGAAGACATGGAAAGGTGGAACGTTCTTTAGAGCATTTATTTTCACAGCGTTTACTTGATTCTTCACGACGTGAAGCGCTATATTTACACATACCTTCTTCAAATATTGATTCCGATAAATATGGTGCAATAATCAAATGGAGAAGAATGCATTCAATTATGAAACTAGCTGATATCAATGTTGCACAAGAGAGATAAACAATTTTCAAGCAAGAATTTGAACAAACACGATTCTTTAAGCGTGTAGCAAAGTTGTAACTACTACTAGGTGTTGTACGAAGTGAAGATGATGAGGGTTTCATACGTTCACGTTTAACTGAAGCATTCATAACGATTTTAAATGCATCATTTCGATAGACAAGGTGATGACTATTTGTCTTTTTCTTTAATGATCGTTAATTGTGACACATTGACTCTCGATAGCATGTCATCTTACCTATTTACTCCCTCGACAATGTGACTCAAACAAAAATATACATAATACTTGAATGAAAAACTTCTATTCTATAAGATGAAATTATAATCTCTGTTTTATGAGAAGTAGATTTGACTGAAAGCGGCAATTTTATCCTTGTGCGTCTAGCATCAATTCTCAACAGATATATTTATAAATGTATATTTAAAACAACTATATTTGGATTGGATATATGAGTCCGATGACCTTGGGGCATCACGTTGATTGGTCGATTCTGAGAAGCTATTGATCCAACTATTCAAATACCTGTGATAGATAAAGGAAAAGCGAGACGGGCATTTACGGAAGAAAAACAGCTAAGAGGATAAAAACAGAGAGTAGGAAAGGAATGCATTGAGCCTCTAGGGTAGAATAATAAAAAAACAATGAACACGAACGAAAAACTTGACCAGTCAACTTTAGTATATATATTTTTAAAATCAAGTGCTAAATTCATTACAATTATTTGGACAAATAGAATTTCTTCTAGTGTTGCTTCATTGTTCTCTCACTCAAGCGTAGTTATGATTCCAATCTAAGTTTTTCACCGTTTTAACTAACTTTTGTTTGCTTTTCAACAACTCACAAAACTTTGTTTCGTCCACATTCGGGACTTCTTAGCAGTGCACACTCACAACCCATGACAAGAGGGAACTCAGAACGGTTACGTCTCATTGAAAGTACGTTACCATTCCACCACCGGATGACAGTTTGAATAGTTCATGTTTTCCAACGTGCTTTCTACAAGGCCTAGCTGTACTGGGCTCCATTCCTTATCCAGTCCTCAGTGTAGATAGTTGAGGAGCACCAATTCAGGGCTAAGCAGCTGATCATTATATCCACGTTATCAATGGTTCTGTGGCTGACACGGGTCTTCAGGGTAAATCCCGTTGCAATCAGTCAACCAAACAGTTAACGACGTCTATCTGAAGCCATTGTTGAGTAACTGTCCAACTTAGTTGCCCCACCAGTTACGACTTCTCAATAGAACTTCAGGAATTCTTATCTCAAAGCCTGTCAATAATGAGCACTGAAGAGTAACTGAGTTTTGGAGGGTTCTGCAGATTGATTGATTTTATGTCCTCTCTGAATGTATGGTAACGTACTGGTCTCGGAACCTGAAGGCCATGAGTGTACACTCCTGAGAAGTCCAATACTATGCGAAAATAGCTGTCCAGTGCTCTCAGGTTTTCAATGGTTCTCTAGCTGATTTCCTTTCATAGTGAATGCTAAATAGAAATCAATAAATTCCCAAAAACCTTCAAAATCAATATAAAAATAGATCATATTTGAAATTCACATGCCAGTTAATATCGCTCACGATTTGAACCAGTGTGACTTTTGCTTTATTACCATGTGTTCATGAAATTTCTAAGCAGAAAGAAACACTTTTCTTCAGTTGTTATGTTTTTATGTGTTGTGAAAAGCTCAGTTAAAGCACAAAATGCAGTTTGGATAAACATGGTAACTTGGTAAATGATAATTTGAGTAATTATCAAGTCAGGGGAAATAGTGATTATTTCGCTAGGATAAGTTATGTTGGGTACAGAATTCAGTTTCGTGCATGCTACGAACCAAAGGAAATGCGTATATGCGACCCAGAGAGGACTGATGCTTTCTTAAGGAACAAAGAAACCACCGTCACCTAGTGAATCAGTCTTACATGTCATTACTGAACAATTTGATCGGTTCAAGGTAAGTTTAGTGCACCGGAATGAAAAGTCTTCTAGGTGGGCAACCTCAATAGAGATTTGGCTGGTGGTATCTTTTAAACCCAATCGATTGTACAAAATGGATAAGATCGTCATTTATGAGATGAGATGAAAATTTACGAATCATGTAGTTAGATTTTCGATGGATAATATAATGCAGCCTTATGATAAAAAAATTCTTTCTGTGCAGATCATAAGGGTATGTTCTCTGACTGGGTTCTTCTTTGTCTTCTATCCCTTTAGTCTTCTTGCTGTCCATATTTTCAACAAATTCACCTAGTTTCCCGCTCTGCAGAACATTCACTAGCTACGTATCTGCTCTGCCACTTCAATGCATCCTTATCAGTAGCTTCTCCACGGTATGAAAACGCTTACTATCTACACGTCACTTGGATGGAGGTAATCGGAAGAAAGCCTTGGACCTAGGTTTCCTTCTTTTTGGTACTCATCAGCAAGGTGTATCTCAAACATCGAGGTAATTGATACCTGCAACAGAGTTTGACCGTACGTCACTTAGTACTGCAGTCAGTGGCGTTAACACTGAGCTACTCGGGATGCGATTGACCTCCTGCAGGACTGGATTGGGCACATTGAATGTTCAATGGCTGGTAACAAACTTCATGTTGTCTAGTACTAATTGATGATCAAATTCTATTGACCGATGAATCTACTACAGATTTATTTTGCTTACGCATAGCATTTTGACGTTTTCAGCCGACTTATGAATTTGTAAGTCATAATGTGGAGTGATTTCGATAATGTTTGTCTACGGGATGGAGACGGTTGGTCAGTTTTTAATCTCTTGTGTTGAACAACATAACTTTTACCATGAAATTGTATCCTTGATTCACAAAAGTATTTACATCCCTGCATGCTAGTTATATGGAGTTTCTCCGTATGCTCCACAAAACTGTTTAAAAAATGAAACCAGGAGATATCACTATTACCAATAACATACTATCTGAGGCAGTCGTGGCTCCGTAGATTGGTTCTGCTGATACGGAGTGATGGTTAAAGTTGGTATAGAGACGTAAATTCTGTCAGGCTTTGAACAAGCAACTTCAGGTCAAGTGGTCTACTAACTGTCACAAACCCGGTTGGTACAGCATCAGACCGGTGACTCTGAGGTCTCTGGTTCCAGCTCTGGTGTCACCCAGGTTTTCATGTTACCTTTAGTCATTACTTCATATAGATATGATCATTAATTTTAAAAAGGGTGTTACCGGAAGATGAGCGAGGTTCAGAGTAGGGGATTACAAAAGTAGTGCTTCTATGGATGGGTTTCCGGTCGTAAATCTAGAAGTCTAGTATTTATCGTTACAATCTAGAGATGATGTCCTAGCCACAGCTTGAAAATGATATTTCTTTGACAAAATGTGTGAAATTTTAAAAATAGTTGGTAGACATTGTTTACTATCCGTGGATAGAAAGGCAGATTTCCTATCTCTCGAACAACAGCTGACAAAAACACACAATATTAATCACATAATTTAGTTCATTGACCTGTGACTTAATGAGATTACAATCTAAGAAGAATGACTAGATCAATTACTTTATCCTTCTGTTTAAAAATACTTAAACTCCAGGTCAAATATACTAACAGTTAGCAAAATTTTCAGAAAGAAAGTCGTTCCCTTCCCGAAAATGGTCAATATATTTACTGAATGTGTGTACTCTTATATCTCCGTTTGTCCGTCTGTTGTATTCCCTAATCTATTGATTTCCTCGAATTGTCAATATTACAACACCTGACTGTTGTTTAAGTGTTCTTGGCTATTGTGGACAAATTTAAACTATCTTTTTTTCTCGGCAGCATGGTTTCAGGTCTTGAAGAAAACCTGCTCTTCCATGATATACAGAAACGGACGAATCATTTCAGAGGCTTGCACACAAGCACATCCTTTCAAGTTGTCATACCTCACCATAGTAAAAATGATAAGGTAAACAAGACATGGGTTTTGTCCTGTCCGTGACTCATCAGCTGGGTGGACTGCAGTGTGAATACCTCTCACTGAGGTGCTGATATATCCGGTCGATGAGTCCCAAGTAGGACGAGACGCACTTTCATGATTCCACTGATAGTTAGCAAGTAAAATCCAACATACTAAATATCCTGGCAGTATCGAGGCATCTATATTAGAGCCCACCCGTCAACAGAGAGCGAGCGATTCGACACAGCGTAACGACGGGAACTTACAGGAATCACTAAAAAAAGAGAAGACAAACGAAAGTGGAGTAATGTCGAAAGAAATGAAGAGGGGTACAAATGGGAAGAAAATAAGTCCATGATGGTCGATCAGTGCTTCAAAATTTCGATGATGAAGATAGAACACATATACACCTGCGCTATTAAGCTTGAGTTGTGCAATCAGGAATTGATAACCATTCGTTCCGTACATCTTAGCTACCAAATCCATGCAAGTCTGCCTTCACTTATATGAAAAAGTAAGACATAATGAGTGGTCGAATTCTACAGCTGGTCAATATGCTTTTTGGTCAGCACTTAGAAATTCCCAGTCACACTGGTTATCAGTACGTTTTCAATTTGCGCTGAGTATAGTAAGGAAACTTTACTTTGAATTGAGACTTTTATGATACAGTATCGAAGTTTCACATAATACTGTGTTTATTTAGACTAGAGAGGATTAACCGTGGTAAAGTCACTGACTTCAGTACTGACCAATACAAGTTCTAATAACCAGGAGGATACCAATTTCCTCAGAGTTGCAGGTACACCTGGCTGATGATTGCCAACAATCACAAAGCCAACGTTTAGTCAGACTATCTGCTTGAAGTTATGGCTTATTGGTTTGGGGAGTTGTATTCCAACAATGAGGTCACGAGTCCTAACTCCTACCGGGGTTTGGGTAATAAAGGCAATATCATTAACTCTCACACACTATGCGTGACATATTCCCCACTGCACCAGTGTGCAAAAGATAGTTAAGTAAATTTCGGATTCTTTTTTGGGGTATCTGCCGATTTATTCCTAACATCCGATAGTGAAATACAGTACATCACAGAGTTACGTCACTTGGTTTACTGATCACATTACAAAAATTGATTGATAGACCTCGGTCAACACTGACCACCTGAGGTGTGACTGTTAATCCTGATCGGTCATTCACTTATCACTCATTTGTGTACTATTGAAACTTCATAC